CTCTCTCTCTCTCTCTCTCTCTCTCTCTCTCTCTCTCTCTCTCTCTCTCTCTCTCTCTCCTTAGTCGAATCACGAACGTCTCACACCCACACGTTCCATCGATAGGGCGAGCAAAATTGAAATGAGTCTTCTGCTGAAACGGGGAAATATACACTGCCACTTTTTGATTTGCTCGTTCTATCGATCCAAGTGTCGTGCGGCGAGCCTCAAGTTGGAGACTTGGTTGTTGGCCGAGGTTGGAATTTTATAGGCCCTCTCTCTCTCGTAGTCCGCAGATATTGAGAAGTCAGATAGGGAGAGGGTAAAGAAGAGATGGCGGACTTAGAAGAGGAAGAAGAAGAACCCTCTCTCTCTCTCTCCCTTCGTGTCATGCATGTTTGGTGGCCGTTTTCATGTGTCCAGATCGTGGCAACGGGAGCTCGAAGCGCGAAAATATATACGCGTCTCACTCTCTCTCACACACACACACACACATCCTTTCGTACTCACTCACGTACACACTCGCCCGGGCACACACAATTAGTAGCAGCGCACCTACCCATGCTTAGCGGTAAGTTCATTCGATTTTATTTTATTTATTTATTTATTTATTTATTTATTTTGTTTTATTTTATTTATCCATGAGGTAAGTCGCGAGATTGAGACTTACCTGCTCTTTCTTCGTCGTCGTCCGAGTCGTCTGTAGCCCGTCGGAATCGTTAGCATGGTTGTCTCGTTGGTCGTCCGATCGCACGGCCAGGTAAGTATCTTTCTCCTCTTCCCTTTCCCCTTCTTCTCCTTTCTCCTTCTTCTCCTTCCTCTTCACAACATTCTCCTCCTTCCTCTGGTCCACTCGATGTCGTCGTTTTCCAGTGCGCACTGCTCTGTAGCACGCTCAGAATACCGAGACCACAGTACGAGAAACAAGTTGGGCATAAGCGCACGTTCCTCCTCACCAGCCATCACGTGTTCGCTGTTGCTTTCCCGCGCTGGTTCCTCTTCCTCGCTATGCCACGCACCTGCATCCTTCCCCGCGTGCACTTCTCCTGCGCGCGCTAAAACGCCTCCTTCATTTCTTCTTTCTTCTCCTTTCCTCCTTCCTCTTCTTCTTCTTCACCTTCTTCTTCTTCTTCTCCTTCTCCTCCCCCTTTCTTCCTCTTCTACCTTTCCTCCCCGCGCGTGTCTTCGCTATCCCACGCGCACGGTTTCCTCCTCTGCCTGGTTCACACTAAGTCGTGCACGCCACGCTTGAACTCCGCGCTCACGAAGTCAGATACGTTCCGACTAACCTTGCTCCCAGCACTGCTACCGTGGTGCGGTATCAACACCTCTTCTCGGGAACGAATTTGCCCGAGAATCGAAGTAGATTCATTAAGGTATTTCCAAGCGGAATAGTACAAGTAAAAAAAAAAAAAAAAAAAAAATTGAAAAAGGCTTAATCGATAATTTTGAAGGGGAACAGAGAATCCGAAAAAGAGAAAATAAATTTCTAACAAAATCTTACTGATAATTTCCTTACCTTGCCAAGTGGCGGCCCCCGTTACAACAGAGGCTCACGTTCCAACTAACCTACTAACAGTAACTAACTCCTAATTCGAAGGTCGCGGGTTCGAGTCCCGGCCTCCCGAACACGGGTAAACAAAAGAGGAGCCCCTTTTCAAAAGGAAGCTAGCTGGAAAGGGCGGTAGGCCTCGATCCCTGTGTCTCCCGCTTGTCAATCTGCACCTAAGCCTACCGAGCTAGCTTCCACTTCGGGTAAAAGTGGGGCAGCTAAGACATATGTAAGTTAAACAGGCTCAGTCTACCCTATGGCCCGAGCCCGTTTCCGAGTCTGTGGGTGAGCACTTGTTGTTCTGCTGTTCTGCCTGAGTGCCTATTGACTGGAGTGTGTGTGTCCCGCAGGTCTGTGCGTGTGTCCCGTAGGGACACCTGATTGTTTGAGCGGCCCGACACGACGGTGTTTACCTATGGCCGCGGCTTGGAGGGCTGCAGCAGAAAACACTTAGGTAGCAATTAGGTCAGTGCCACACCAAGTGGAGGTGGACGTGCCAGATACTCGAGGCCGAGTAGAAGAATACAAAGTTGGCATTCCCAGAGACCCAGTACCGTCAGGTAGGTGGGCACCGGCTCCAGTAGTACGAGTCTAGGCCCTGTGCGGACGATATCAGGGTTCGCAACGTCGTCTCCCTTTGCAGAGGGACGAGGGCACCGGTCGCTAGGGTAGTCATGCGGTCAGGAAGTCACCTCCCCAGGGCGACTCCCTTTCTACCTACGGGAGGCTAAGTTAGAGCCTCAACCTCGCTACGGTGCACTAGTAAGGATAAAGGTACCGCTCGAGCAAACGTCAACAATCGGGGCGCTATCTCAACCTCGATAATCGTACACCGATAGTTGCTCCCGGTCGTACAACCGGGGCGCGTATTAATTTATTCTGACTAATGTACTGATGATTAGCGTACATCGTGGATCTTACCGACACAATATTAACCCGACTAACCCCTCGACCTCTTCTGTCGACGAGTATTACTACTGGTCCTAACCATCACAGCGCGCGTCATAATAACGCGCGCTCATACTCTCAATTTTTTTTCTCACCGATTTGCCCCCGGCCTCAATGGCCGAGGAATTCGTTTCAAGTGTCACGCTCAAGCGTGCACACCCTTTCCGTTCCAGACTCGCTCCATCATGTTAGCCGACGTCGTCACTGTGTAGAATGCAAAAGCATGACCAAATACCCTTGTAAGGGTATTTGGTCCGACAACGTCTTCTTGGGGGTCGCCTAGGGGAAAGGCGCCAGCTTGGAAGACAACAGTATCTGGTCGTGCTGACGGACCAGGTGCGTGGTGGTAGGATACCGAGAGGGGGAGGGAGGGAGGGAGTAGAGATCGAAGCTCCGCTCCGATACCAATGTGACGCACGTGTAGTGGCACGTGCGGAGAGAGAGAGAGAGAGAGAGAGAGAGAGAGAGAGAGAGAGAGAGAGAGAGAGAGAGAGAGAGAGAGAGAGAGAGAGAAAGAGAGAGAGAGAGAGAGAGAGAGAGAGAGAGAGAGAGAGAGAGAGAGAGAGAGAGAGAATGGACACGCACGAGAAGCAGCAGCTGAGTGAAGGTCCAATCCGGCTCGAATGAACGAACAACTGAATGAATGAACCTCCCGCCCTGGGCCTAGGCCGAAGTGATATAGTGGCCTAGGCCCAGGAACGGGACAACCTGGTACCGGACCAAGGTCAGGCCGACGGCCTGAAACTGGTCCGGCCTCACTGCCGGGCCGTAGGGGTACCACTACATGATTAGTATTTTGGGGGCTTCAAAGGCCGCCGAGGATACGCCGAACCACTGAGAGGGAAGCCAGTGGAACCCTTGCATTTCAAGTTGGGCCGTTGTTTCAGGGGTGATCTTAACGACTATCGCGGTCATGTGAAACTGCCGACAAGCACCGTCCGCCGTCCGGAAAATCCCACTTCTTGCGTCCCAGGCGGAAGCCTGGGATAAGCCTAAAGGGAGTCTGTCAGGTAACATTTTCAATGTTGCCTGACGTATTGTTTCTTTGGTGTTCGGTACCCCTTCCACCTGTATTGACGGAAGAAAAAAAGCTTTCGATTCTACTTTCCTCACCATCACTTTGACTCCCTGGGGGGCGAGGGAGAGACAAATTGAAACTAAGATATTTACTATTTGTGGTTTCGCTCCCGTTGTTGTCGAACTTGGCTGACCTTCTTGTTCCGTTGCTATCTCTATACCCTCCCCCCTCCCTTGCATCGATAGCAGTCTTCCTGCAGGAGAGCCTAAATTAAGTGACTCCGGCTCGCCATCCTCCTCCTCCCTCGTCGGTTTGTTGGTGCCCTCGTCCCCAACACGTCTCATCTTAACTTGAGCCAAGACGGAAACCGGATTGCCGGGGTCCTGTCTCTTATACACATCTAGATGTGTATAAGAGACAGCTCTATACCCTCCCCCCTCCCTTGCATCGATAGCAGTCTTCCTGCAGGAGAGCCTAAATTAAGTGACTCCGGCTCGCCATCCTCCTCCTCCCTCGTCGGTTTGTTGGTGCCCTCGTCCCCAACACGTCTCATCTTAACTTGAGCCAAGACGGAAACCGGATTGCCGGGGTCTCTCATTGGCTGGTCCGTGGGTGGTAATGTCGTCGTGCCCGGTATGTGTGTCGCCGATGTCTGGCGCTCCACTCCTACTCCTGTGGTTGCAGGCTGCATCCTCTCGGCCATATTCGGAGTTGATATCGACTGTGACAAAGGAGTGGTGTTGGTGTTGGCTGTTACTCTCAGGGTAGGAGTAGATAGTATCAAGGTTAGGTCTGCCATCCCCCTGACTTGCTCCTTGGGTCCCTAGTCCAATCTCGGTCGCTGGTGTGTTCATCAGCCTTGAATACGGGGACCGAACACGATAGTACCAACGGAAGTAGAACGCCCCTTCCAGCGAGTCATTATGGACACGACAGATATTGACGTGCCACCTGGCCCAAATCGCTGTGAATATTCTATCCTTTTAGTGTTAATAGATCATTTTTCCGAGTACATCGAGGTCTACCCCTGCAAGACCCGCAAGGCCGCAGAAATAGCCATGTACATCGATCGGTTCCTCTATACCCATCTAGATATGGAAGAAATTCTGACCGACAATGGGTCCGAATTCAAAGGCGAGGTAGAGGAATTGCTCGCGCGAAGGGGCATCACGCTCCGACATACGGCACCCCACGTGTCTCAGTCGAACGGGTTGGCCGAAAATGCCAACCGTATGATTAAAACCGCCCTTCGCAGGAATTTAGCGGCACATGACACGCGTTTGTAGCCCGAGATCGTATATCAGATCGCCGGAATTCACCGGGCCACCCCTCATGAGTCCACAGGGTTCACCCCCTTCCAGCTTCACACTAATAGCCTCCCCTGTGTCGACTACCGGGGTAACTCGGAAATTGCCGAAGCAGGGGGTAGAGACACGCGTGCCGCCCTTAAGGCCAAGGCCAAAAGGTATGACAATTTAATGGAGAGGGTCGTGCCTAAATTGGCCCGGAAGAGACAGAAAATGTTTGAACTGGCCCACGGTAGACAGGTCCGTAGCTACGAGGCTCGGAATGGAAATGCGGGCCCACAGCACCAATATAAGTTAGGGGACCTGGTGCAAGTACGCAAATGTGCACACGGCCGTAAACTCGCTCCCAAGTTTTCTGGCTGTTTCCGCGTCGTCGAACTCGGTCCTAACGGTGCCAACACGGTGTGCATCGCGCCCGAGGCAAGCGCCAGCCATAGCTCTGTCCCCATCGTCCGCCATACCTCTTATATCCGCCTCCTCCCTCCCTCTGACATCTCTCCATCTCCCTCGTCCGCTGAAGGGGAGGACGGAGACGATCTAGTTCCCGCCTCGCTCTCTCCCTCCTGCTCCCCTCTTATATCTTCCTCCCCGTCCTCGCCATGAGTTTCATCACGGAGCGAGCTCTTGGTGATTATCTGCTGCAGGCACGTGGCTACATCTCCGAGATTCGGCAAGTTTGTCATCCACGGCTCAGTCCTGGTCTGCAAAGGGTAGCGCAGTTTTTCTGCACCGAGGGAGTGTGTGCCGCTGCTGCTTTTCGATTCCCCGGGAGTCAGCAGGCAGTGATATTGGCGGAGGTGGTGGCACTTCATCGACGAGAGGCTCCCGGGACGAGCCACGTCACCACGGTCGATGCTTTCAATGGCAACATCAGAACGATTAGCCCTCTGCGGCATACCGCGATCTTGACTTCCTTGCGGGAGTGGCACAGCAGGTGTCGACTGATTGGCGTCACGATCTTGCGCGCCCGGGCTACAATCTATTCCTGACATCCGGGACGGACTTCGACGTTCGCACTTCTCCGTGTCAGCCGACAGTCGCGCTCCCCGCCCTCATCCCCTTCCAACGCCCCAAATGAACCGTCTCGCTCCTCTCTCCACCTTCGATCTCCCCTCTCTTTTTCCCACCTTCTGGCAATCCGACCTCCATCCTCTCCTTTCTATCTTACTCGAGCCTCTCGCCGTTCCGCTCCTCGATCCTGGGTATTGGCGGTTGTGGCGCGAGCTCTTTGTCGATCTGTCTGTGTGCTTGGCCCGAGTGCAGGTGACGTGGACGCGGATCAGTGAGCAGCCTGCGTGCATCGAGTACCTGGAGCTGTTGATCCTGCAGGCTTGGAAAACGGACGTGGAAGGCGACCTTCTCGGTTTCCTCTTCGGATCGGTGCGACCAGGCCATCGCCAGTCTATCGTCCAAGAGCTCATCGTTCCGCTCACGCAATTGGCTGGCGATCTCCCCCTCGACATCGTTTCGCAGAGCGACGACAATCCCGCTCCGCGCATCGTCACGCGAACATTGGTGCCGTATCTCCAGTGGACCGCTTGCTTGGAAGAACCGGGGAGTGATAGCACTCTGCCATCACGACAGGAATACTTGAAGCTGTACGGGATCATCGATCACGCCTTCTATCCGAAGGAGCCCGAGGTGCTTGGAGGAGAAGAGGAAGTCACTGAAGAAGAGGGCGACGCCGACGAAGAAACGTCGGAGGAGGGGAGTTATAGTGAGTACAGCGAAGGGGAGCAGAGTGAGGAGGAGGAGGAGCTAGAAGAAGAAGAAGACGAAGAGGAGGAAGCCAGATCGGAGTGGGAGGACTTGCCGGAAGAGGCAGCGCGCACAGGCACAGAAGCGAAAGATCCCGAAGCGGCATGCAGAAGGGAAGAGATCGCCACCGTGAAAAACCAGCTGGAGATCGCCAGTGGGGCAAGCTTGTGCATCAACGACGATCCGACCAGGGATCTAGAGCCCCCCGAGCCCGAGGATGGCGGATCAGCAACCGCGGCTCCGAGCGCATCGCGACGGAGACGGAGTCGATCCCCCTCCCCCTCCACCCCAACCCGTCCCCCAGTTCGTCCACGTACCGATGCAGGGAATCGGCCTTCGTCCCCGGTCATTATCCCGCCGTCCCCTTGATTACCTTACCCTCTCCGAGATCTCTACCCCCGTCACCTTTCCTCGCAACCCCTTTCCTCCCAACACTTTCCAACACTTCTACTCCACCCGTCTCGCCGTCACCATCCATCCCAGCCCTTCCCTTCAAGCCGCGAACCCCGCATTCTGTCTACACGTCCTCCTATTCAGTGCCGCGTGGCGACAGAATAACGCAGTAAAAGTCTATTGCGTAATCACGGGAACCATCCCCACGTGCCGCCATCACGAGCTGTTCCACGCGGCACTCTTTCGCACCTTCTCCACCTTCTACCCTGACTACCTCGCCTCCCTACCCCGCAGCGGCGATCGATTTCCTCGTTTCCACAGGATCATCCGCTACGAGGAGCTCCCTATCACAGAGGAAGGGATCAACCGATACCTGCCCCCACTCCCTCCCCGCCCTCCCCGTGAACACCCCCCCATGTATCGTATCTACTTTCCCATTCCCACACGACGTTGAAGGCCACGTGTCCCCCGAGCGGTATGAATCACCAGTTTTCGCGAAGATCACGCCACTGACGATAACGTCAACATACGCTCTGATTTGATCGAATGCGCGGGACTGGGGGTGCAGAGCACACAGAGATCTGATGGACCATGATGGTGTCACCTTGACGATCTCCGAAGCTCGAAGGACAGGGGGTTGCATATGACAGGGCTGCAGAGAGCGGGATCCGAAACCACACGAGCCGCTGCGATCCACGAAGATCTTGCCACGGATGTTGTCGCCAGCCCATCATGCTGATCCAAGTTCCTACTTCGCCTTGCTTCTTCGTTCCTTGTACTTCTTCCTGCTTCTTCGTCCCCTCCCTTTGTTCAAGCTTTCATGCAATCAGGAGATCGCATAATTTTGGAACCCCCTGCGCGTCACATATGTGACGAACTACTTCCCGACCCCGTGCTATCTTTTGTACCCCCTTGGCCCAATACCCCCTTGTGTACCATACCGACCCCACAGGACCCTCGTCGCTTTTCTAGATTTCAGGCGTCTTGTTTTGAGCTCCTATTTTTCAGAAGTTCTATTGATTTTTAAAATTCTGTCTTTTTGCAATTCGGAAAATACACGAGAAATTTTGTGCGCCTTAGCGAGCGCACTGAGAATCGGCCTCGACAGTTAGGAATTACAGAATAAGCGGAGCCCGACGTATCTTTTTCCTTGCATGAATGTTCTTGGTCACGTCGGAGAAAACTCTAGGAATTTTGCGAGAATACGGATAGGCATAGAACTTTCTTTTCTCGTGTCGACTTTCACGCGCGGATATGGTGATTTTGATTTTTGAATTGGTGTAGGATATAGGCAAGCTGCAACTGTTTCAGTGCCTTTTTCCTTTGCTGTCGGCACCGCGCATGCGAGCATCCTCCTTCTTATTTCCCGCGCCATCCTTCCCCCGCACTCTCCCCTCCCCCTTTCCCCCTCCTCTTCTTCTCTCCTCGCAACTGTTTTTCTTCTCTCTCTCCCGCTCTGATAGATTGCGCGCCCATTTCTCCTTCTTGGTCATCTGAATCTTGGAACCGTCTTGCGCTACTTCTTGCGCCTTTTTCCTTCTCACCCTCCGAACACAGCGCACGAAGCCCAGTTGATCCTTCGATAACTCCCGCTCGCCAATCAGGTGCGTGGATCAATGGGATCTTCCTATTGCGCGACGAATCTGATTGGTTGAACATTGAGCTTCGGGGGATCAACATGGCTTCCACGGAGCGCTCTTCTCAAAGTCTTCTCCTCCTGCTTCTTCTCTTACACCCGACTTTCCCCCTGCCTTCTCCCTCCCTTATCCTCCTTCCTGCAATTATAAATTCCGCAAGCGCGTCCGCAAATCTCTCTTACGTTCTCGACTCCCAAGCCATCTTCCGGGAAGCAGTGGCTAGGCGGAGTGTTTGGTGCGAGTCAGAAAGTCTTGTCGGGCTAACGATAGGCTGGCCGGTTGCGCACTTGATCGCCACGACGGGCTGTGGGATCTGGGCGAACTGCGCCGAGTTTGCGTCGGCGGGGTGACGATCGCAGCGGCGGAAGTTAGCACGTGACGGCCGGGATCGTCGGTGCGGGTATGAGGATCGGTGATTGGAGTTGAGTGAGTGATTGGCCCGGGGTCAGACTGGAAATCCACGGCGAAAGCGCCTTTGTTGTTGCGAATCTTTATCTTTTGGTGTGAGTGCACGGCTGCAACGCCGAATGTCCTTTTTCGGATCTCTGTATCTCCTATCTCGACATCTCTTCCTCTCTCCTCTTCCTCTGAGTCGAATGATGCTGTGTCATGAGTTTGTTCTTCCCGTGAATGAGAATGACTCTGTGTGTTTTTCCTGTGTGGAGGAACTTCTTCCGAAACTCTTCCATTAGTTTCCTGGGTAATCCCCAGATGTCGAGGGATTGATCCTCTTGTCTTGTGAACAGTGGATGCATGTGTACAATTCCCTCGGTTGATTTCTGACCCGTGCACCTCTGGTCATTTTCGCACCTTCCACAGTGGATGTATGCATATAGATGCTTGTCTTTTTGCATTGATTAGACTCGACGTTCGATGAGATTTTGTTCGAGAATGCAAAAGTGTTTAGATCTGTGGTTCTGAATGCACTGCGCACGCCATCTGCCTTATGCTGCACGATATCTGCAACCGATCTACAAGGCTGCCTCAAAAAACCAGGCACCTCAAATCAACGCCGCGTGGCGTATCAAACCTGAGTCGCGGAACGGTCCCTCTATTAAAGTGCATGATCAAACTGATAAGTGCTCTTTCTCTCTCTCGTGTCGAAAAGAATTGATTGGTGGTTGTGCGGGTGTTTTTCCTTGATGACGTCTCGGGATTTTTGCACTTGATTGACACGTGGACTGACGAACGCCCTCCGATCGGCCGCCAGCCTCTCGTATCTCCCACGCCGACGCGACCTTTTCCTTACGACAAGGAAATGACATGTGTATGAGAGTGGGACGTGCGTGAAGCTGTCGCACGGATCGGCGGACGATATTACTTCCCTCCCAAAAACCTTTGTTCGGGATTCGTGGATGCTGGGTTTGTCATTATCGATACTCACTTTCCACCCTACTCGATATTGCTGCCCTTTAACGAGTTGATCATCATTCCGTGAACAGCAGTGGAACCCCACTGGCCTCGCACTCTGTGCACTGAGTGCCAGCGTTTCGAGCGCTACGAATCCAAGGGTTTCCATTACCGTATACGGAACGACGACGAACATAGAGAAAGAGCCACACGATTGAGACCCTCCACGTCGGACTCAGAACTGACTAACGAGCGACGCCGTGACTTAATACGTAAGCGAGACACGCGAAGCGTGCCGAAGCCTTTTTGCTCTAAACGAAGGGCCGTAGCACGGTGGGAAGTACGACAGTACTTCTTGGATTAAACTTTGTATTCCTCTCTCCTTTCGCGCATAATTCGCGCACGCATTCTGCAACGCACGAAAAGCAACCGACTCACTTCATCGGACCGTCACGGAGGATTTCAGTTATGTCTGTGTCCCCACACTCAATTTCCAAAAATCCTTGGCACACCCCATCTTGCTGTTTTTCTGGGCCTCTTTTCCGCACACTTAGCACTCCGAACGAAAGACAGCACGGGGCGTGAGGTTGGTATCGGCGCGTCACAGACGTTATATACACCCCACATTTGCCCATCCAATTCAAAAGCTACCCAAATCCACTTACCATCGCAGTCCCAAAAAAAGTCTTTGAAGGTTATAGGCAAGTTCGGGGCGAACAGAATTGCCACCCCACCCTTTGTGCCAGCAGCCGGTGCCCGGAACTGGGGGCCTCGCCACCAGGATAACTGGGCATTTTTCACAGATGTCCCGCCGAGGGACATGCGTGTCGTCGTTTTTTTTTTTTTTTTTTTTTTTTTTTGGTGGGTGTCATCGTTGGTGCAAGGGGCCATGCTAGGTCAGAGAGGGAAAGGCGGACTGCGGGAGAGCGTTGTGGAGCGGCCTAGCACGCGAAGCCTGAAGTTGCTTGGGTGAGGCGAGGTGGCGACGTTGCGGGCAGGGTCCGGCGGCGGGCGCCGCCACGGTTGAGTGGCCATGCTTGACTGGTCTCATCCGCCCCTGCCGCTCCTGGCCGTGAAGGTCAGGCGTGGTTATGCTGGCGCGCTGAGTTGAGAGTGTGTTGGTGTGTGGGTGTGGCGTGTCTGCGGGAGGATGCCTTTATACCGGGTATGTAACTTGATCAGTGTGCTGAAGCACGTTTGATCTTAGGTATGAAGACTTTGTCTGTGAAGCTGTTCGAAGATGCCGTTTTAGGCGTTGCTCCGTGTGTTGCCGCTTTAGGCGTTGGTTTGACTGGGAGGTGCAGGAGCAAGAAGTTGGAAGTCTTCAGTCTTCCTTATTGAAGTTGGAGTTGAAGATTGAAGATCGTCCTCCGAGGAACGCAGTGAGGATGAGAGACTTATATAGCGTTTGGCAGGGGTATTTCCGAAATTGCCTGATTTGTTGTTTTTGGGAATTTTAGTTGAAAGGGTATTTTCGAAATAGCCTTTGTTCTCGCTAGTTCTTTTTGCTTTTGTTATTTTTATTTTAGTAGTCTTGCTAGGATTTTTCTTCTTATATTTTGTAGGTTTTTAGGGTATTTTCGAAATAGCCTTTGTTCTCGTTAGTTCTTTTTGTTTTTGTTATCTTGTTCGTTTGTTTTTATTGCCTTTTATTGTTTGGTAGGATTTTTTCTTCTCATATTTTGTAGGTTTTTCTGTCTTCTTATAGCTTGTAGGATTTTCTTCTGGATGCGTGCCGCTGCGTTTCTTGTCGTTGGCTCCTGGGTACTTGGGGCATTGATATGTCTTGTTCAGGGTTGATGTTGGTGTTTGGTCAGGTATGCCTTGTTCGAACAAAGTGGCTCTTGGTTATATAGGTAGGCAACCCTATTTTGTGCTGTTGCTGATGACTAGTTCGAAGCTTGGTGGGAGATGGGGTGTACGGGGGGTATTTTCTCCAACACCGTGTTTCAACTTCGAACGCTTTATAATTTTGATAGGTGGGCGACCCTGATTCGTTCTGTCGCCGGCGTTTGGTATGTTGCCGGGAGTGATGGGAGAAATCCCTTGACATCCGTGGTCGTGATGTGTGGGAGTTGAGCTTTCGATGACCTGAATAGGTTTGTGTTTGTGCTTTTCATGCCCTGAATAGGTCTGTGTTTGCTGCTACGGATGGATGTGTTGCGTTCTTTAGTTAGTGTTGCGAATGCGCTGTGTTCTTT